TCCGTAATCCATTTGGTATGTCTTGGGACTGTTATATGAGAACACAGTTTTAACCTCTTTGTAGTTGATAAATTACTTCGTTGGCCCTGCCTTCTCTTGCTTCCGCGCCCTGCTTGTTGCAGTAGGGCTTTTGCTCCTTTTTCGGCAAAGTCTTTAAAAACGTCACCTCCGTGAGTCTTTACAGATTCTTTTACATTTTTTCCTTGGAGTACATCTTGACCGACTTCTGTGGCTGCTTGCAATTCTCTTTTGCCAACAACTTTAGCGCCTTGTTTGAACAGAGGGATAGCATATCTCGCAAGGGTCTTGAAAATACTTCCGATCCCGTATCCTCTTTGAAAACGTGCACCATTAAACCCAGCGATGTTTCCACCACGCTGCTGTCTCAAGAAATGGTCTCTCAGTAGTTTTTCGTCTACAACAAGTGTACCTTTCGGCATGTTGATGTGTTCAGTTCAACTTCACGCAGTAAACTAATCAAATATCGCTTTGGTCGCCTATTTTATGGTTAAAGGACTGCCTTTCATCCGTTCTGATATCTATAATTTCACCTCGGTGACAATGTGGGCAGCTGGTGATTACATGTGTAAAATCTCCTTTGGACACTTGAAAATCACAGATCATACAGCGACAGTTTTTACAATTTGGATAAAAATCTGTCCATGTGCATACGGGGCACGTACTCAAATGGGAGATGTATATATCTTTGTTACAACTGTTACAAGTTGCGTCAGCATCAGATCGTGTATACTGACGGGACCACTTGTGGGCTAACACAGAAAGGACATGTCCATTTAAGATTAGGCTTTTATCAATTTCCAATTCTGCAAGACCTTTTATAAAAATACTCAATCCAATTGGTTCGGGAATATCTGGATGATAAGGCGTCACGCAATATTTCAGAAGGTCTACAATGTCAGTGCCTCGTATATTATGTCCTCTGTAAACGATTTCTCCTTTTCCATTCCAAGTCAAAATCCCCGTAGAGGTTAAAATAGAATGAAGGATTTCTTCGGCTTTGTGTTCATCATCAACGTCAAGATATTTGAGAATGTCTTCAAGTCTCCACTGTTCAGGAGATGATCGTTTGTCGCTATCCATGATTGGAATGAGGAGATGTCCTTCATACGTTTTATTTTATATTAATTCTGCAAGGCCTTCTGAAAGTGGTCCAAGTACCAATCCCAGAAAGCCGCTTCCCCGCTGAACAAGAATTTCCTTTTTCGTCTTAAAATTTCTATCTCTGTATTGGAAATTGTTCTCGGATTCAAACGACACAATGTCAATGACTTTATAAAAGTAAAAGCATATTAGGGCCATTTATATGGGACAAAATGAGTCGCGACTTACATAAAACGCGTCTTATATAAGCGGAGTTATCGTATAAATGGTTCTCTACGGCTCTAGTCTTATTTACTTGCTATAGCTATATTGCTGTTTTGGTTATTTTTGTTTTAATATGAAAGGCTAATAATTTTACGTTGTTTCAAGTTTCGGGCATCCGTAGTTAGACTTTAATGATTTAGATTAGTTAGATTTATCCAAAATGTCTCTTTTTCGTCTTAAAATTTCTATCTCTGTCTGCTAAATCAGCTAGATCTTGTTCGAAAGGTCTGAGTTTGTCCTTTGCTTCTTTAGAGTATGTGAAATTTTCTATACAATGACACAAGCATCGAATTTGCTCAGCTGATGTAGAATTAAGAAGAGCTTGCTGTTGAGTTGGATGAGAAGTACATAAGAATTCTACAAATGGTCTGTGTTTCATATAACTGCTAGTCATCTCTGTTCGGCGGTCAGCAACGGAATGAAGATTTAGTTGGAAATAACACATATATAAGGATCGGCTCGCCCTCTATAGATTAGGTCTAGACAATAGTCTTCATAGTCTTTACTATAGTCTTTCATAGTCTTTACTATAGTCTTTCATAGTCTTTACTATAGTCTTTCATAGTCAGGACTATAGTCTTTCATAGTCAGGACTATAGTCTTTCATAGTTAAGACTATAGTCTTTCACAGTTAAGACTATAGTCTTTCATAGTCAGGACTATAGTCTTTCATAGTCAGGACTATAGTCTTTCATAGTCCTTATTATAGTCTTCGTAGTCAGGACTATAGTCTTTCATAGTCAGGACTATAGTCTTTCATAGTTAAGACTATATAGTCTTTCATAGTCAGGACTATAGTCTTTCATAGTCAGGACTATAGTCTTTCATAGTCTTTACTATAGTCTTTCGTAGTCATGACTATAGTCTTTCATAGTCAGGACTATAGTCTTTCATAGTCAGGACTATAGTCTTTCATAGTTAGGACTATAGTCTTTCATAGTCTTTACTATAGTCTTTCATAGTCTTTACTATAGTCTTTCATAGTCTTTACTATAGTCTTTCATAGTCAGGACTATAGTCTTTCATAGTCAGGACTATAGTCTTTCATAGTCTTTACTATAGTCTTTCATAGTTAGGACTATAGTCTTTCATAGTTAGGACTATTGTCTTTCATAGTCAGGACTATAGTCTTTCATAGTCAGGACTATAGTCTTTCATAGTCAGGACTATAGTCTTTCATAGTCAGGACTATAGTCTTTCTCCAACGCAATCCATAAGCAGAGAACACTTCAGAACCAGACAACACTTGAGAAAACCAGAGACCACTCGCCAAAATGCAACAGTGAGAAATGAAACGTGTGTTCGATACACGATATTTATAATCTCTGATAATTTGTTTGGTCGCGCTACTGTGTTGTGCCGCTAATTGGTCTCGTTACTGCATTGTAATGCTAATCGACCACGTTTGGCCCAGACCTGCCCGCGTTAATTGGTCGCGTTACCTGTCACAGTTGGCCCAGGCCTGCCCGCGTTAATTGGTCGCGCTACCTGGCCCAGGGTTAGGGCCAGCAAAGTTGCGTCACATATCTTGCATACTAATTACTTCCGACACCTAAGTTTGCATACTAATTACTTTCGGAGCAATGTGACGTCATTGGCGGCATCCCTTTGTACTCCATAGTGGGGGGTTTCACTACTTACGCGTCACCATCGTCGGCTACGTTGTCATCCACGTTGTCGAATGAAATTGAGTCGATCAACGTCGTGCTCTCAAAATCATCTATCCTGACTTGTCATATGCCGATGCGCATGGATACTACCGGATTTGATACATTAATTGATCGCAGAGGCGTGCCTGCAAGTCGTTCGTTCAGAAGTTAAAGGGTCACAAGTCAATCTTTCGCAACCCGCTGGTAAATATTCTTAAAGAAACACCGTACGAACCCGTCCATAACTATTGCCTGAGAAACAGCAATCCTCCTGCACCGCTTATATTTACTGAACGGTTTCGCAACTTTGTTACAATTAAGTATAATTCGTAATTTTACACTAGCTTATTGACCTATTTTTGAACTATAGAATATTGTACATTATAGCATATTTTATCGTTGTAAACGCCTTTAACAGGCTTTTTAAATGTAGATAATTGACAACCTCTGATATAACTTTAACATTGTGACTCTATCTATATATTTTATCTAGTTGTTATATTTATAATCGTGTAATTTAGTTTGTACTGCATTACGATTTTATTAAATAATAATAATAATAACAATAATCCCCGAGCCGACGGCGCGAAGCACCGTGCGAGTGTACTAATTCCCCCCGGTTATTTACACCCGGGGAAATGAAAGCATTAGCGAAGTCTAAAGTTCATCAATCATCGCGGGCGTGGGTCACCAACGGTGTTCGAGTGTTGGGTGTGTGGTCATCCTCACTGATCTCAAAAATATGCCGGACTGTCATCAATAGCGGACGCTAATCGGTCCAATTTAAAGTTTGCATTATAACGACTGCATGACGACAGCGAAATAGCAAACATTTCTTGATTTGATGATTGATAAATTTCTTGCAAATATATTTCATTTTTGCTCGCATTTTTGCAAGATTTTGTAAATTTCAAAAGCTCTCTCAGAAAGAAACTGCGAAAGAATCGGCTAAAAGAAGGGAGCCGACGTTAACGGAAGTAAGTTTGTTTTAAATATTGATTTTATAATGCCTTTAAAACCCGACGGCCTTTGAGTATATGAAACAACTATAAAACAAGACAGCATATAATTTCAGTGCATCTTTAATATTGATTCCCTTTATTATTATAGTGAATTTTCTAAATAAAATTAAAGCCATTTAACTAAAGGCAGTTTAGTTTTATAAAGAACACTTTTGGTTGAATTTTACCTTAAATTGAAGCTTATATTACGTATAATAACATATCTAACATATATATATATATATATATATATATATATATATATATATATATATATATATATATATATATATATATATATATATATATATATATATATATATATATATATATATATATATATATATATATATATATATATATATATATATATATATATATATATATATATATATATATATATATATATATATATATATATATAGGGAAATTGATAATTTTGTAATTAAAAGTGATGCTTTTAGGCCATTTTTCATTTGTTTGAATATTCTTATAAAATTATCGCGTTACCATGACAACTTCATGTTCGGAAAATACAATGGTTTTGTTTTCTGCATGCATGTATTTTCTGGTAATAATAATTAAAAGACGGAAACGGCAAGCTCGCGGATGTATATTTTAATTAAACCGCCTTTTAACATTCTAGAAACCTTTTCATGTTTTCCCATAGAAGGTCACATATAGTAGTGACGCAATATAGGTACCTTTGGAAATCCTGTTGGTTAGAAGGACACCCAGTTCACAACTTTAGATAACTTAGAATCCTTAAAAAGAATCCTTAAAGTTGTGAACTGGGTGTCAACAAACGTTAACTAAAGTTGTCTGTTGCGTGAGATTGTCGGAGAAATAGGGCCAATATTAAAAAAAATGTGCGGTTTCAACTAATAGGCTTATATGGCAACTTAGAGGGCAAATACACTTTCACCTCTTAGATCGTTGTACTCGATTCTCTCTAAGGAATCGATAACTCACACGCTTTGTCTTGCACAAAGAATTTCTTTTAATTCAAAAGTGCGTCTGGTGTGTTCGGCATAACTCGCAAAATAGTTTATATTATATATTACCCACCATACTTTTGTATTCATTCAGGAACACCGTTATATTCGAATTAGTTGAACGTTTTGGATAATCTGTCTATTCTGGTGGTGGTCCTTTTAATTAAACACTGTCTTAAGCATGCAGGTAAGGTGTTTCAGATAACGCATCAAATTTTGCCAAAACATTCCAGAATTTTAAAACGGTTACTTTGAAAAATGTACTGATGTACACAACAATACGCAAAATTTTTATAATAATTTATAAATTACATACGAGTAAAGGTCCAGGCACAGCGGACGCGATTCGACAACGCGACGCGATTTTTCGATTTTCAGTGACTGATAACTTTGATCCAAGTTTGAATTTTCCAAATATTTAGAAGCTCTATAACATTTTGAGTTATTTGGTCTACATATCTTTCAAAATTTGTTCCCATTGGCTGTTTTATTAACTTTCAAAAACTAAAAAGTCGCGTCGCGTTGCCGAATCGTGTCCGATGTGTATGGACCTTAACATTTACAAATTATATGTGAGCTATAAAAGAACGAACTAACGCAAACCTGCCGTATTTAACATATAGGAATACGTTTACGAAATTATTTTGATAGAGAACTCATCACTTAATGTAATATGTGATAATTTTTCCTATAATTTTTAATCATCCCATTTGTTTCTAATTAGTTTTCTACTTTCATTATCAATTGTTCTTATGTACAAAGCCTATTTTATTATTGAACACTTAATCTAGTGGCCTCAACCAAAAGTCCAACAGGATTTACAAAAGTCCCGGCATATGTCGTTATACTATATCATGATTATAAATGATTTATTACTTGTAAATATTCTTTGTGGCACGAACATCACAATGGCCGTGAAATAGAATCGAAATATTACCTTGAATTTCGTGTTTGTTTTTTTAAGCAACGTGTATGTTGTGTTCACAACGTTTGAAAAGTTTACAAAGTTTGTTCTATTCAGGGACGCCGGATAGATAGGGCAGATATTCATATATTCGTGTTCACAGATTGTAAAAAAACAATCGCTTTCAAAGGAAATAAGTGATGCCGAACATGAATATATGAATATCTGCCCCCCCCCAACCCCATTATCGAGTTTCCGGCGTCCTGGTTCTATTTATCAGTATTTTAGTCGCGCCATACATAACGGGCCAGTAGACTCAATACTTTAATTAATAATCAATCTATTTTTGAATTGATTATAGATTACCAAAAAGATCTTTCATATGTACATTTCCTATACATGCCTACTTGGCATCGTTATATCATTCAGCAAAGGTACGTTTACTAAAGCTAATTTAAACCTGATATACTACAGGTTGAGAGCAGAATATCGCGTTTCATCTATTTTAAAAAGGAATGAGATTTTGGGACTAACTGTGAAGTTTTAGGAATTTCCATGTAAAAGCATGTTTCCTTACCATCAGGCATTGTGGTTTAAGTCTTTAGGCAATTCTTTATTGAGCTCAATTTTTTTAATCATATGGCTTTGCGAAACATACTACACTGTTAATTTCAAGGAGATATTTTAACTTCACCATAGGAGTTAAAACTACTCCACTCGGGAGAGTAAAAATTGTGGAGTAAAATCTACTCCCAAAATAGAGTTAAAACTACTCCACTACGGCGCGCATTCCACAATTTACTCCATCGGGAGTCAATTTAACTCCACTGGAGGAGTAAATTAAACTCGCTTCTAGGAGTTGAAATTATGGAGTAATTTTTACTCCTTAATTTTACTCCATACAAGGGTCGTTTCAACTCCCAAAAAGAGTAAAATGGTTCTGGATCTACAGGGTGTATGAAAAAAAAACTGAACAGATTTGAAATTGCTTTCAATTTCGCAAAACAGCTATTAGTTTTCAGTTTTTTTTATATATGGCTTCTTTGGGTGCTTATAATGTAGAATGATAAAAAAAATTTCGCGAACACAAATTTTTTAAACCAGGGGTGTGTGTCTTTTCCGACAAACTAAAAATGGCTTGCGCACGCGATTTAAAAGCTATTATCGTATTTTGAGTTAATGGATGAAAAATGTGTTGGGTGTTTAATTGCTGCACGAAATTTCATACAATTTGTTTCTGTTTAAGCCCTTCAACTATTCACGCAAACTTACATTTTTCCTAAAAAATCAGCAATTTCCATGCTTAATTAATGCATTTGCCCAATCTGCATATATCAGCAATATGCAAATTAGGTAAAGGTATTAATTAAGCATGCGAAAGGCTGATTTTTTAGGAGAAAATGGATAGTTAAAGGGCTTATACTAAAGCAACTGGTCTGAAATTTGTACAGTAATTAAAAACCCAACACGTTTTCCAACCATTAGCTCAAACTACGATTAAAGCTATTAAAGTTCGTGCGCAAGCCATTTTTAGTTTGTCGGAAAGACACACACCCCTGGTTCACAAAATTTGCGTTAGAATTTTTTTTCATTATTCTACCTTATAAGTACTCAAAGAAGCTATATACATCAAAAACTAGATACTAATGGCTGTTTTGCGAGACTGAGAGCAATTTCAAATCTGTTCAGTTTTTTTTATACACCCTGTAGAGTAAGTTATTACAACAAAATTAATGCGCCTGAGAATTGAAGATGGCTACTATACTCTAAGTATTGAATACAGGTGCGAGAAGCACGAAATTCGAGATATAAATTCGTTTTTTTGAAATTTTACGTTTTTGGTT